CACACACACACACACACACACACCTGCCTCCTGCAGCCACATTAAAGCGGCGTGGTGATGTGCATGAGGGAGATGCGATTATAAAGCCGTCTCCTCTCTTCAGACTTGAAGCGGACGGGTCAGGGCAGAAGTCCGCCCGTCTCTCTCTCGGATGCTGAAGCAGTGATTCAGTGAATCGGGACTCACAGCAGAGGCAGCCTGAGCAAACAGCCTTCAACAGCTAAGGGGGCAAACAGAATCGAAGGCAGGCAACAGACTACAGACATGGATGCTGAGACAGAGGCGCTCCCATAGAGGACATTCTGCTGGGTAATTAACTGGGAAGCATCTATCAAATGAAACAGGAAAAAACAGACGAACATACTCAAACTTCACATGTAATAAACACTTGAGTGGCCTTCATAAATCCCTCACAGTTGAGGTGGTTTGAGAGGCCCCTGGGGTAGACCCAGGACATGCTGGAGAGATTACATCTCTGGTGTGTTGGGAATGCTTTGGTGTCCTCCTGGATGAGTTGGAGGAGGAGGTGGGAGAGGGGTGTTTGGGCTGGTGCCCTGCGACCTGGACTCAAATAAGCAGTAGAAGGGGATAAAGAACAGCCCCAGAAAACCACACTCTCTTTTTGTAACTTTTATGCTAAAAAAAAATCCCAATCCTCTGTTTATGTTTTTAGCTTCAACTTGAAGGTTGATTTATTTTTCTTTTCATTCTGTCTTTAAATAAAAACTAATCTCAGCAGCACAGTATGGTGGGAAACTCTGCCCAACATCAAAGAGCCTCCTCCCAGCCGCTCGCAGATACGCATCTCTCTTACGCTGCTGTTTTGGAAGATGCTTCCATTATTTCCACGCTCATCGCCTTCTTTATTCCTTTAATTTGCCCTGTTTTTCTCCCGTTTCTCCGCATTTTTTCTCCAGCTCCCTCCAACCTATATAATTCGATTTGCCATGCTGATAGACGTTGCTGCTTTTGTGCTTACGACTTCACTCTGCAGTTTGAAAGATGCTTCTTCTCGTTCGCCGCTCTGAGGAGCTTTCATTGCAGACGAATGAAGATATGCTGCACCACACGCTGTCCTGTGGGCTTCCTGCCAGGGGCTAATTGCTTTTTCACAGCCTATATGAAATAGCTCTACACATGCGTCACAGTGTGTGTGTACACACTGTATCAGCTCAGTGCACACCAGCTGTTGCCTTTACCTCGTGGCTACAAACGCACACACAGACACGCAAGCAGAGGAAGTAAATGAGTTTAAGGTGATGCACCCCAAGTGTAAAGCTGCTTTTTGCTGAACTGGAATCCTTTCATGTGAGCAAAGTTTCAGCTTCATCGTGACAAACCCAGCCCTCAGTTTCTGTGAGGACTCAATGTTTTTAACAAAGTTAAAGTGCCTGCAGCGAGATGTGGGCCGTGGATCTTGCAGCTTTTTTGTATTGTCGCGGCCAGTGGAAAGACCATCATTCACAAACTTAGAGCTAATACAACATCACAAAAATGTAACTACAGTGGGGCAAAAAGTATTTAGTCAGCCACCGATTGTGCAAGTTCCCCCACCTAAAATGATGACAGAGGTCAGTAATTTGCACCAGAGGTACACTTCAACTGTGAGAGACAGAATGTGAAAAAAAAAATCCATGAATCCACATGGTAGGATTTGTAAAGAATTTATTCGTAAATCAGGGTGGAAAATAAGTATTTGGTCAATAACAAAAATACAACTCATACTTTGTAACATAACCTTTGTTGGCAATAACAGAGGTCAAACGTTTACTATAGGTCTTTACCAGGTTTGCACACACAGTAGCTGGTATTTTGGCCCATTCCTCCATGCAGATCTTCTCGAGAGCAGTGATGTTTTGGGGCTGTCGCCGAGCAACACGGACTTTCAACTCCCGCCACAGATTTTCTATGGGGTTGAGGTCTGGAGACTGGCTAGGCCACTCCAGGACTTTCAAATGCTTCTTACGGAGCCACTCCTTTGTTGCCCGGGCGGTGTGTTTTGGATCATTGTCATGTTGGAAGACCCAGCCTCGTTTCATCTTCAAAGTTCTCACTGATGGAAGGAGGTTTTGGCTCAAAATCTCACGATACATGGCCCCATTCATTCTGTCCTTAACACGGATCAGTCGTCCTGTCCCCTTGGCAGAAAAACAGCCCCATAGCATGATGTTTCCACCCCCATGCTTCACAGTAGGTATGGTGTTCTTGGGATGCAACTCAGTATTCTTCTTCCTCCAAACACGACGAGTTGAGTTTATACCAAAAAGTTCTACTTTGGTTTCATCTGACCACATGACATTCTCCCAATCCTCTGCTGTATCATCCATGTGCTCTCTGGCAAACTTCAGACGGGCCTGGACATGCACTGGCTTCAGCAGCGGAACACGTCTGGCACTGCGGGATTTGATTCCCTGCCGTTGTAGTGTGTTACTGATGGTGACCTTTGTTACTTTGGTCCCAGCTCTCTGCAGGTCATTCACCAGGTCCCCCCGTGTGGTTCTGGGATCTTTGCTCACCGTTCTCATGATCATTTTGACCCCACGGGATGAGATCTTGCGTGGAGCCCCAGATCGAGGGAGATTATCAGTGGTCTTGTATGTCTTCCATTTTCTGATGATTGCTCCCACAGTTGATTTTTTCACACCAAGCTGCTTGCCTATTGTAGATTCACTCTTCCCAGTCTGGTGCAGGTCTACAATACTTTTCCTGGTGTCCTTCGAAAGCTCTTTGGTCTTGGCCATGGCGGAGTTTGGAGTCTGACTGTTTGAGGCTGTGGACAGGTGTCTTTTATACAGATGATGAGTTCAAACAGGTGCCATTCATACAGGTAACGAGTGGGGGACAGAAAAGCTTCTTACAGAAGACGTTACAGGTCTGTGAGAGCCAGAGATTTTCCTTGTTTGAGGTGACCAAATACTTATTTTCCACCCTGATTTACGAATAAATTCTTTACAAATCCTACCATGTGGATTCATGGATTTTTTTTTCACATTCTGTCTCTCACAGTTGAAGTGTACCTCTGGTGCAAATTACTGACCTCTGTCATCATTTTAGGTGGGGGAACTTGCACAATCGGTGGCTGACTAAATACTTTTTGCCCCACTGTAGGTGTTAATGTGCTGATGCTGTGAAAGACGTTTTTAACCCCGTCGAGCACGAACCATGAAAAATTCTAACTTTTTAAAAACTGTAGTGTTTTTCAAACCTTCTGACAAATTTAAAACAAAAGAAATAAAATAGCAGTTTGCATATACGGCAGCCATACGGGTACCGAAGGGGGATCTTAAAGGAGTCCCTGCTGACAACAGGTCTGGGGACCGGACTATAGTACTATACAGCTGGGATGCAGTCCATCTCAATCCAGCTGTGAAGGACATGATAATGTCATATTCCCTATTTGAGAGTCAGGTTTAACAAACAGATGAAATAACTTTTAACGAGTTGTTACTGACGTGTTTGCAGATCCACACAAAAGCTGACCTTTGAATGTGACACAGACTCTGGAGAAATCCTGTCAACACTGATCAGGACCCTGATAATGGTAAATGGTCTGTATTTGTAAAGTGCTTTACTGGTCCCTAAGGACCCCAAAGCGCTTTACACACCCAGTCATCCACACATCCACACACTGGTGATGGCAGCTACATTGTAGCCACAGCCACCCTGGGGCGCACTGACAGAGGGGAGGCTGCCGGACACTGGCAACGGTGTCTTGCCCAAGGACACAACGACCGAGACTGTCCAAGCCGGGGCTCGAACCGGCAACCTTCCGATTACTAGGCGAACTCCCAACTCTTGAGCCCCGATCGCCCCTATTAATGCTCAGCATGAACATTTTTACCTTTGCTTTCTTTCAGCAGCTGCTGTGATAGTTTGGAGCTGAGATGCAGTACGTCTGCTGTGTCTTTGCGGTGCTGAATGGACTAGAACACGAGCCAGTGCGTTGCATGACTACAGGCACGTTTGTCCTGGTAGTTGTGCTGATGGCTGTGTGCAGTGCCGGTGTCGTCCTTCTGCAAGCCCTTGCTTTGGGGTGAAGTGGGATTTTGAACAGAATGCTTTCTGTTTCGTGCACAGGTGGGTTTTCATCTATGAGAAAGGTTACCAGTCCACAGACACGGCCGTCAGCTCCGTCTTCACCAAAATGAAAGGAGTGGGCTACACCAACAACAGCGGGGGAGAGAGGGTCTGGGACGTGGCTGATTATGTCTTCCCTTCACAGGTCAGTGACCTTTCGTGCTCCCAGTAACATTTGATATGTCGTCGTCTCGTGACTCCTAAGTGGTCGGTAATTTGTTTGGCACCTGATGCAAGTTGGTCACCAGAGGCAGATTTGATGAAATCAACTGTCAGAGTGAGGAAACATCAGCTGAGCAGGACAACGTGTCACTGTTTGCTAGAAAACTCAAGGCTGCCAAAGAAGCAGAGGTTTGTAACGTTCACCCCGGTGACGATCCACCTCTGTCGACGCGACTCTGCAGCTTCATTGCATGTGAGAGCAAAGCAGGGACACTGATCAAATAGATAACTTTGTTTGCCTCCAGTGTTGCTGTGTCCTGTTAACTGTGGGAAAGAAAAAAGAAGACACAATGTAGGCTGCCATGTTTGCTCTGAGGTGTGGGTGTGGGCTTTAATTCAGAGCAAGGCAAACAGGTGGTTTCAGTGTTACACAATGAAAAGATCACTTTTCTCCATCACGCACTTTGATCAAATGCACTTTATTGTCAGGTGGTCATTGTTTTAGTAATCGTCACGTGACCTCACTGTTACGTCGACGTTCGGTTCAAAGAGAGGCCTGAAAAAGGAAGAAAGAAAACATTGACAGGAGCAACATATGAATAAAACAATGCAATGGTTTAAGGCAAAGCACAAGAGGAAGGGTGTCGGCGATAACTGAAGCCCCGCATCAGGGCTGCACTAAAAACAGCTGATTGGATAACAAGATACAGGTGAAGCAAAAAGGACGGAGCCAGCAATCACGAAGGAGAAAAACCACACGAGCACACAAGACAAGTAGGTAACCTTGCAGGAAATACCAACAAGGAGTGACACTGAAAGGCTCCACAGACAAACCGAGAGACACAGGAAACACAGGAAGCCACCAGAGATGCAAAAGAGAAGAAAAACAACCTGGAATGTGTCAGTGTCACAATGAACCTATACAGAACATTTTCATTTAACTGTGATTTTGAGCAAAAGTAAAGAGAGTTTTACCCCCTCCTACTGCCTAATGATATGGCATTTACCTGCCAAAAGTTCAACTCGCAGGATAATAAAGATGCATACAGTTCTCTATTGGCTTAGATCACAAACTGGAAACACAGAGGAACCAGGACATTCGCTACACAACACACAAATTGCGTGACAGCTCTCACATACGTGTGTGCTCAGGGTGACTGCAGCCGCTCGGGGGGTCGAACCTTTGCTGCTCGAGTCTGCGTGTCAAAGCATCCGTGGGTACGATGCTGAAACCCACGTCACCTCCAGGAGGGTCAGTGCTGGACCGAAGGGGAATGAGGCGCACTGTAAAAAGTGTTAGAGTAGAAAGGTGATATATACGAACCGGTCCAATCATATCGTTTCTCACTGTACTGTAAATATGATCACGGCCTTGTAAATAGTCTCACAGTTGAGATTGTGCAATGATCCTGACCGTCGAACGCCGTGTTGACCCATCCATCCACCCCAACCTTCTTCCTGTGAGGGGATTTCTGTTGCAACTATTTCAGCTCTTCTGCTCCAGTTCCTGTGAAATACAACGAGCCATGGCTCGCAGAGGTTTGCTTTAAGGTCTGTGCTCACTGCTTTTAAACACATTGCTTCTTCTCTTTTAAAACTTCAGGGAGACTCATCATTTGTAGTGATGACAAACTATATCATGACTGAGGGTCAGTCAATGGGAACCTGTCCAGAGGTAGGTGAAAAAGCACTGGTTCTCTCTCTCATTCCTCCCTCTTCCTGCTTCCTTCCTTTCCTCCTGCGCTTCCATATTTAGTAAAACGAGCGGAAATTGTATCTCATTCCAAGACTATTTCTGTAATTGGGTAATTGTCCGAAAGTTGTATAGCAGAAAAGGGCTCTTTTAAAGCCTAATGGCCCAAAGAGCAGTGCGTGTGGGATCCATACATGTAAGACTATAAAGACAAGACGTTTCTTTCACACTCCCAGGGTGTTTTCCTGTCTTCTTCTTCATGTCCTTCTTTCGTACTTGTACACAGACTGACCCCAGTGTCTTCTTTATAACAGCTCCCGGGCAAACACAACTGCAATACAGACGCCGACTGTGAAGGAGGGAGTTTCAAACGTACGGGAAACGGTAAATCCTGACAGGCTGAGAGTGTGACCTCAGCGGTCCTCACTGAGTCTGTTGCCAACTCACATCAGTCCAGATTTTGTGCTTCTTGTTATGTAATTTTGCTTCGCCGGAGCTGAGAAGCCTTCTGAAACTCACTGAAGCCATTTATTGAGCGAGGTCGGGGATGGTGTCAGGTGATGGAGCAGCAGTGTATTTGCAAAGTGGGCCGTAGCTGTGACAGGACAGGCTCACGCAACAGCATCTATATAAATACAGCAGATATGAGTCACGGCTGCTGAGGTAAACATTTACACAGAATTCATGAATTGCATTCATCCGGCGCTGAGAAGAAGAAACAGATTCATCTCAACAAACCAGGCCTTAGCAACCAAACATTTGGTGTGTGTTTGTAGTACGGCTTGTTGTCCGCTAAAGTAAGCAGCTGAAACTCTGCCTTAAGCAAACAGACATACATGCATGTATATATAAGCACGCTCAACTGCATGCATGCCAGCTAATATAAACTGCAAGCACACAAAGACACAGCCACATGAGCTCTAATGTGTCCAAATGTGTGGCTGGTTCTAAGAACAGTTATATAAACTTATTGTCCTTCATCCGTCTCAGAGTTCAGTTCAGAGCCTTTCCACGTCGCCCTCAATCAGACCGAAGCTTTAGATCTGTCTGGCTCACACCAGTCATGCACCTTGAGGTGCCGGCGCTCAGCCTCCACGCTTAAAAACAAGTAAACGCGGAACTGTCCTGCAGCCAAACACAAAGGTCAGAGGGCCGAAGCCGAGTAGGCGCCTGCTGGAGACTGTCTGCAAGCTCATCACACGCACGATGAGAGACCGATAGCAGCGAAGCTGTAGCGCACAGGGAGGCGATAACATTGGGATTAAGGCGAGATAAAAGAAAGAGCTGGTTCAGCGTTTGCTTTGCTTTTATACGCTGCTGTTGATGCTAATTCAAGATAAAAGTGGAGGCAAGAAAGTGTTTGAAACTGCTGGTAACGCCCACGCTGCTGCCTGTTTCACTGTTGAGTAATCGACTCTAACTCTTTGTTTCTGTATCAAGGAGAAATGACCGGAGTCTGCGTGAACAGGACTAAGACCTGTGAAGTGCTGGCCTGGTGTCCAGTGGAGGACGACCGCGACGTACCAGAGTACGCAGACAAACTGAATTATTCACGATTGTGCGATTACACAATCATCTGTGGAAGCAAACATGCTCATTTTAAATCTGATCTTGTTTCCGTTTCAGTCCCCCGCTGTTGTTGTCTGCAGAGAACTACACTCTGTTCATCAAAAACTCCGTCACGTTCCCCGCATTCGGCGTCTCGAGGTGACGGAGACACGTTTACCTCAGAAGATGTGATGAGTGCGATGAGTGTGTCCTGCTCTGGCATAATATATTGTAACTTTATAAAACAGCTGTGGCCAGAAATCTTCAGTCAGTGGCACAAATTTGTTTTTTATACTCTTCAGTTTTTACTGAGATATTTGTTCACGTTTCTATGATGTCATAAAAACAATCACAATGATTTTATACGTTTCAGTTTCTTCTGTAACGTTTGTGTTATTACAGCAAGCTCGCCAAATGAAACACAGCTTTGAACCAAACAGAGCTACACAGTAAACTCTGTTCTTCTTTTAACTCTTATATCTTCAGCTTCTAAATCAAACCACAAGTCTAATCACTAATTTTGGTAAAAGTACAGAAAGTGTCAAATATTTCACTGTTTTTTCGTTTTCAGGAGCAACCTAGTGGAGGACGTGGACTCCAACTACATCAGCAGTTGCCTGTATCATCCACTCAGCGCTCCCCTGTGCCCTATATTCAAACTGGGAGACATTATTAAACTTTCTGGCTTAAACTTTCAAACAGTAGCTAAAGTGGTGAGTTTGAATTTCTGCTTCTTTCTGAAATTCCTGTCATGTTTCCGTGGTTTGCTTCTCTTCTTCTCCTGCTGTGATGAAGACGGCGTTTGTGTCCTGACAGGGAGGAGCCATCGGGATCGTGGTCGACTGGACGTGTAACTTTGACGTGCATGTAAAACACTGTAAACCAGAGTACACCTTTCATGGACTCTATGGAAGCAAAGAAGGCTCTTCAGTGGGCTACAATTTCAGGTGTGTGAAAAACACAGCTCAGCGAGAGATTTGTTCCTTTTTCTGTTAGTTTGTGTCCAGAAAACCTCTGAAGCGCATATATTATAATTTTAGCTTGCAGCACTTTTAAGGTCTCATGTTAATAATATTATTAATATTATATATTAATTAATAAGCTTTACACTTCCATTTGCTGAGCTCTCGCTAACTTCGTGATAACGTGGATTCGCTCTTCTCATCTAACCTTTGAAACTGTTGACAACATCGCACATATTGGCTCAGTGTTTGAAACTACTGCAGTTCATTTCTGCTTCCTCGCGCACCACACACACATGCATGCTCCTGCTCCGTTATTCATTGTTCACCTGCTGGCTGATGGAGAAATGTTGTTCTGTCACTGTTATTGTTCATTTTCCATGGAATCGGCTTCACTCGCTATTTGCTCCTAATGCTGCTTCAGCTCTGCTGAACCTGCCAAGTCGACTGGCTGAAGCTTCTGATGTTTGCTCAGTGAAACAGTGTTGACTTGTCTCAGACTGCCTTTTCTTGTCGTTTCTTCACAGCTCGCTCAGTAAATACACGGATGATGACGTGTTTGTCAAATGCTTTTGAAACATATTTCATATGCCTGCTAACATATTGTGGTTGTGTCTGTCTGCAGGTTTGCGAGGCATTATATGGAGGACAAAATTCAGAAAAGAACACTTCTGAAAGTGTTTGGCATCAGGTTTGACATCATCGTCCAGTCACTTGTGAGTAACACGTTTATCTTAAGTATGCTTTTGTCACTGGAAGAATAAACCAAAGGAGCTGATATGACTCTGCTCTTCACAGGCGCGGAAATTTGATATCATCCCTACCCTCACAGCCATCGGCTCTGGAGTGGGAATTTTTGGAGTGGTATGTTGAAAGCTGAAATATTTACTTACATATTCCACACGTCTGTGCAAAAGTCGGCCCTCGTTTTTGATACTCTTAGGAACCAGGCTCCGTTCTAAGTTTTAAAGTGGTTCTCCAGGTTTTCCGAAGGCCTCTTTGGACACTGACATATGAATGACTGAGGCACCTAACTCCAGGGACTGTGTCCAAACATACCGCGGTTAAATATGGTGCAGGTTATGTCGTGGTGTTGGAGGTCGTGTCAAAACTGATGGAAAAAAACAAAAATCTGACTTTGATCCGCGGTGCAGCAAGAGTGGAAAGCTTCTGATTGGTGACAGCTTCAGCGTGACAATGATCCCAAACACAATGCAGCAAAGGCATACCTGGATACACAAACACACAATCAGTCAGATCTCAACATTACTGAAGCAGTGAACAGGACAAATAACAGCCAACATCCAAAGAAGAGCTTTGAACGTCCTTCAAAAAGTCTGGAGAACTGTTCCTGAAGAGAAATGACAACAAACGAGTTCAGGCTGTGTTGAAGAATAAAGACTTGTTTCAGTTAAACAAACTGTACGTTCGACCACATGTCCAATGTTCCTGGTGTTGCACACAAAGCAGGCCTTTATATCTGCGTACTATTTTGTCTTCCTTGAACTCAGCTGCCACCAGTTTTCCCCTCAGGTGCCAGTGCACACCTGGTTCAGCAATCGGCCACCCAACACTGTAAAAGCCTAACAGTGGCTCCGTTAGTTTGGCTTGGCTGAGATCAGAGGTCGTTTGCACCTACTAGTGAGTAGCTAGTGTCTGAGGCTCCATAATGTGGTAGTTTACACATTTGTGTGGCAGGTGAGAGGTTGCTGGTTTCATTCTAGCCAGCGACACACAAACACGCAGCGCTACCTGCTGTGCTGATGAGGAGCTAAAAGTAGCTCCAGTGAGTGTCCAGAGTCTGCAGAGGTGGTCTCTTTGTAGGTAATGACAAAGATTTAAAATATTCGGTGGTTCGAGACTTTTGCACAGTGTTGTAATCCAACAGGAGATGACGCAGTTGTTTCTTTCTCCTCTTTTTAGGCGACTGTAGTGTGTGACTTGGTGCTGCTCTATTTGCTACCGAAAAGAGAATTTTACAAGAACATGAAATTCAAATACACGGACACACAAGTACAGGTAAGACCTTCAAAAATGAGTCTGTGCTCTCTTTGAACAGCAGAGGGCAGCAGAGAGGTGTTCAACCAATCAGAGAAAGTCATTGGAGCTTATTTTCCTTCACCACGTCCAGCCATACATTTCACACGGAAGCCGTAACCTTCACTTACCATCAGATTATTGCTGTGTTCATTCCCATAACGTGTGAGAGAGTCTGTGATTAGTACAGAGCAGCCAGTTTATCTGATGGAAGATGAAATCTGTGTCCGTCCCACCCAGACTGCTTTCCTCTTTCACTTCTGTTTTACAGCAGGACAGCGAGTCGGTTGGTGTAGACACGAACGTCTATTACACCCTCGAAGCAAATGCAAAACAGGCTCAAGGCAAAGACCGGTCCAAAGTGAGTAGGAGGCAGTCTGTGCAGTAGAGCAGGTTCTTTTATTTTAAGCCTAATCGCGCCATCATCACGATGAGCAGCGTGGTTTGCACATGATCTGAATGTCTCCTGTCCCACAGGATCCTGATTCAGAGGCAGGCAGCACAGAGACTGATGTGTCTAAAGTAAGGCGTCGTCGTATCCTTCCAAAACAATCACTCCCACGAGTCTCACTTGTTTTAATGACTGATGTTTTATTCATTTGCTGTTTCTCGTGCAGAAGTGACCCGGGAGCAAACGAGCCAAAAGGCCACGCCTCTTTTGGGGGTGTGACGCACTGGAAGCCTGGATCCTTCAGACACTACCTGGACTAACAGAAAGGAGCACAGCGAGATGGAGTCACGTTATTCCCATCAGCAGCTTAGTCATCCCGAGGATCTGTGACGCTTGTATGTGGAGTCAGAGGCAGCCAAGCTCGGCGGTGTGTGTACTTTCTTGGGTGTTACTGTTTGCTTGTCTTCATGCTTTGGGTGTTGCCTCTGTCTGTAATTCTGTTACCTCAGTCGCCGTCGTTGTAAAAGAAACATGTAGGTGCGCTGCTGTCAGTGATCGTCCCTCGTGTGCACCTTGTGATCGGCTGTTGACTTAATAAAAACATGTACAGTAACATCACCGCAGTTTCTTTTTGCTTTGGTCGAACAGAACCTGAGAAAAATGTTGAAATGATTCAGATTTCTTTATTTCTTCGAGTATGTGTACAAAAAGCATGCAAAAAATAGCGCATTTATATATATCGGTACATATTTACATTGTAACTACGTTCCATATGGATGTGCCATGCTTCCGTTTTAGTGGGTACAGTCAGAGAAAAGCACGAGACGACACGAGACGGCGGATGCCTTTGAGACAGGCACACGCGCATGCGCACAGACCAGGAGAGTCACATAGTCCCGGATTTCATATTATGTACAGACTCCCCCATAATCTCCGTCCTTTGGATCTAAATATGACCTGAAATCACAATAAAACGCGTCATGCCACTCACTTCCTGTGCTGCCACACCCACTGACTTTTCTTCTGTGTCACTGCAGCAACAGCAGCAGGTCTGATCAATCCACGGGAGGTCGCCTGGCTTAAACCGACATACTCTAATTATGCAGGGTTTCAAAGGTCACGCACGGGTGATCTTTGATTTATGGCCATTTAAATCATCCAAGGGTTTTGAATGATGAAAAACATCTAAAAGGAAGGAAACCTCTGGTGGAGAAATAGACCCGCATGAACAAACTGACATATTTGGAGTTCAGGGTTTCCACTGTGAAATGGCCACAGAGGAAAATCCCACGGTTTAAATATTGTTGTTGTGATATTTAGTGATCAGTGAGAATGTCCTGAGCGCACACCTGCCCCCTCCGTACAGTTTCACAGTATTTCACTATTTTGCATGTTGTCAGCAGTGAGATTACACAACAAGCACATGCGGTGTTTCACAGGTGGACACACACAAACTGTACAGTGTTTAATGGCCGAAGTAGTGTTAAACGTACTCACAATAATGACGTTATACATACTTAAGTGGAAAAGTGCAAGAATTTGAACATAAACAAAAACACAGGTTAAAGGTCGAGAGCTGTAAAGACAACAATAAAGTATCTTTGACCCACAAACGTCCAGCACAACAACACCCAGAATAAAAACGCGAGAATCAGGACGAGCGTTTAAACAGGTGACGTCAAACAGAAGACGTCATGTGACATTTTTGGTTGCCTTCATTAAAGGTGTGCAGCGCGCCGCTGAACATCAAAACGTCAGGATGATGATAAAGTTTATGACTGACGTCACAGCAGTTATGACGTCATGTCCCTGCGGACATTAAACACACCGGCTCAACAACACGGCCTGAAATCCCGTTTGCACGCCTCGTGCCTAAGCTAGCATCCTTCCCTGGAGGAAACGAGCTGCATCAACCAGCCAGAGGACAACGCTGCTCCGAGCGCTCCCCCACAGGGGTAACACACCAGGACACGTCCCGTTGTTAAACCAAGCGCCTTTAAATGGACACGCCTCTCTTTCTTTTATCCACCACGCCCACATTTGTAGAGGGTTCACATGTGCACAGCTGATTCACTGGCCATCGTCAGCATCTACTGTTGGCACTTTGACAGGTTATCAAATGGAAAATCACGAGAACACAACTCTGTGTTCACGGACAGCCATGCTTTATACTTTTCTTCCTCCTCACTGTGTAAGCAGATGTCAACGTTTACAGGAAACAGTGATGTTGCGGTGGCCAGCGCGTGCATTATCTGTGTTCCCATTTATTATAATGAGAAGTTTGCGGCTGCACTGACACGTTGTGCCAACACAAACACGCCCTTTTCTAAAAGCTCACCAAAACTTCAAATTAACAAGAGCAACAACAAAATGAAAACATGAAGTCAAAAACACGACACCAGCCCTGCTCCAGCACCACCTCCGTCTGCTGCTCTTTGTCCAGAGTCCGCCTGAAGCTCTTCTGGATGAATTTTCTGCTCCTTCATGGCTTTATGTGGGAGCAGCCTGACGCCGCAGTGACAGCTCTGCATGGTCCACTAGACAGAGCTGAAGGGGGAACGATCACTAATGTATCTGATCCTTGATGATTGTCTCTGAAGCACAGTTTCCTTATTTTCCTCTTCTGTGAATGCGCTTCAACACAGGTGACAGACTGTTTAAAAAGAGAGCAGGTCAGTGTTTCCTGAGAGTAAAGGTGCATGCATCATTTCACATTAAAATGATTTGGGTACAGACGCTTCTTAATATAATAACGAACAATGTGATTCGATTTCTTCTACAAAGCACTCAGTGATTCATTTGTATGCAGATTATTTATGCTTTAAAATCAGCTCTGCATCCAAGAACTTTACAATATATTAATATTATAAATAACGTATAAATTGGAACAGTGCTTATATACAGAGTAACATCAGTTTTTCCACTACGTTCGTTCTCACCATCCAAAAACTTTTCCCATCCGATCGCAAACACATCCAACAGCAGAGCATCAAAGAAATAAGAACCACCAGACTGACACAGACGACGCATTAGGAGAAGCAGCGTGAAGGACAGACTAACACACAGCTCGCAGTCACCCTGCGATCACTGCCAGGCAGTCGATCGAGGTGTCTGAAGGCAGCGCAGGAAGCACCTGCTTCAGAATAAAGGTTGGCACAGATATGCTTAAAGGGTCTTCACAATAACACAGCAGATACCACAAGACACGTATGTACAACATTACAGTGACTGATGAAATGAAAGCCTCTTAGTTCACTTAGGAGACAGTGCAGTGTCCTTTACATGCTGAGGTCTGTTTCCTCCTGTCAGGTGGCTGCAGACAGGCTGAAGATGCGGTCTAAATATTCGCCATGCACAATGGGAAAAACTCGTCAGTCTTTGCCTGTAATACAGTTTCAGGCCAGCAAAATAAACCGGTGATGATCCACAGACGTGCTCGTGTTCCTCACATCGGCTGAGGATAAAACAGCTCCACAGCGCAGAAGCAAGCGTGTACGTCACATGACAAACTTCTCCCCAAAAAACAAAACAAAAAAACTCGAGTTTTTGTGTTTCAGGTGCAGAATGATACGTTTGCACTGTGGGACCACTTTGAGGTGTGGATGAAGGCGTAAGTGGATATAAAGAGGACGCTGCGCACGCAGGAGGGTCGCTGGGACTCAAGAGGAGGGCTCATCTTCATGCAGGTCCTCCAGCTCTCCTTCTCTGGGTCCATCGCCCGTGCTGGCCTTTCTAAAAAGAGACAAGAAAAACCACAAACACGGGTCACAGCTCTTATGATCATTCGAGGTTGGACAGCAGCAGAGAGGGAATTATCTAAATGCTGACACTACCAAGCCTGCTAATTAGAGAAGGTCTGGATGTTGTTGATGCATGATGAATATCAAAAACACACAGAAGGCTTTATGGACGTAGGATGGCTTTTAAATGACAGCAGCGGGGACACGACAGCAGGGGAAGGCTGCTCTGCCCTCACATCTCGTGATGTGGACAAGCACAAGTTTAAGGATCGAAAATGATGATGGGAGCAGCGGCTGGAGGATGTGGGACAGACAGAGGCCGGACTGCTTCGCACGAAGTGTTACCTGAGTGAGGGCTGAAGTTTAAAAGAGGGCCGGAAGGGCCACGAGTCCCTGCAGCAAAGTGGGAGAGAAGATGGACAAGTCACATATGAGAGGACAAAGGAACGCAGGCCCGTGGGAGGAAACCCGCCTCCCCACCACGTAGGGTCCAGCTGCACTTTTAGCATCTTTCAAAAATGATCACACACTTCAGAGTTTCATTTGTGTCGTAGCATTGCAAAGTAAATAACACATTTTTAAAGGCCTCCCTGTGGCTGAATCTGAAAACCGCACTCTGACTCAGGATGCGCCGATAACCAGAGCAAAAGGACTTTTGTCTGCAGCTGCAGTTCAGCGCAGCAGCAGCTCAATGATACTGACAACTGTCAATCCAATGACCCTGATAGACAAGCACGAGCCACAAAAGGCTGGGTTTAGCTGCAGCAGAACTTTCAAAATAAAGCGACGGGACTTTCCACTCAAACTGGCTGTTGATGAACTTATTTTTTTTTCTGGATGAAAGAAAGGGGAAAATTTGTCTCCAAATATACTTTGGTGGGCTGCATGGGAACACTGGTGTTAATGGTGCATTCAATTTCAAACATGCAGGCCGGAAATTTTCTAGTTGAATTCCAGCCTGAGAAACTGTAGCTTAGCGAGAAACTCAAATCTTTGCCGAGTCAGCAGAGCTTCCCTGGATACAGTCACCATGGACACAAGAAGCTGCCACCTGTGATGTTTCATCAAAATAGGACAACATATAATAGCGGCTACGTCATCTTTCCCCCACAAATCTTGGTGAAAAAAAGCGTCTGGCACTGGTAGCATCTGTCAGTCACATTAGCCGTTAGCATTCATTTGCTTCCCCTCATCAAAGGAGAAAAATATCCCACCAGCTCTGCTCCACTTGGACTTTGACGTGGAGGAAATCAAGGCTCTCAGAGCTTTCCAGTGGTTTTTGGTTATGTGTCCATATGTTTATAAAATAATATCTGACATCTTTACATAAACATATTGTACTCACTCAGAATTGTATTCATTACTCTATGATAGCCATATAGTTGGATTTCCACTGTGCAGCAGGGGGCAGTATTATTCAAACATCCATAAGCTGTGAAAACACCTCCACCTCTGACGGCCGAGCGTGTAACGGTCCACGAGCATGTTCATCATCAGAAGACAGTCCCTAACAGCTGTGCGTGCGCCTGTTTGTTTTCGGCTATACAAGTTGAAAATGCACAGCGGGGACGGGACGAGCCGATTGGCCACTGACACCTGTGATACTTTGAATCCACGTTACTGACAAATCAAGCTCAGCCTGAGGCACTAGCTCATTCTGCGTCACGCTGAGTCCTTCTAGTCTTGAGAGCTAAAAGCAACACACAAAGAAACACTTATACAAGCTGTAAGCTCCACTGCATACAATGAAAGAGTGAATTATGATGCTATAGCAACACAAGGAAGCAGCAGCTGCTGCTGCAAAAAATGAGCGCTATTTAACCTGAAGAAGAAGGAGACAGGTGTGGAGAAAAGATCTACGTTAGAATCTCAAGCAAAAAGATCGTCTTCAAAGACAAGATAAGCAAGTACTGAGCTGCAGACAATCAGGAAGCTGAACTCTTACATGAGCAGACTACCAGGTGCAGACATGGACCTCTCCTCCCGCCGGCTTGGGCACTCAAAGGGGTTACTGAAGGAGCGCTTTCTCAGCATGGCCTTTACCAAAATCTGAAACAGACAAACACGGGACGAACACGGGTTACATGAGAGGGCGCAGGGGGCGCCGTACTGTTACAGACATGCAGGGGGAAACACTGTTCTCAACATGTGGAGCAGACACGTGGTTACAATGTTCCTCTAATATTGTTACTAATGTTGTGGCGACGTATCAGGTGATCTTCATTCGTCAACAGGCCTAATCTGCTGGGGTTTCCCATGATGCACTGAGTGTTTCGTCTTCACTCTCTGTTTATTCGCCGCTCTGCATTTAATCATTCGTTGTTAATCTCTGGCTCTCCTGCCCAGCGTGTCTCGTCTTGCCTCTTCTTCCTGTTAACAGGGAGTTTTTCCCTCCCACTGTTACCGAGTGCTTGCTCATAGAGGACTTTGTGTTACTGCTGTAACTGTATACATATAACGTAACCTGCTGCTGTAATGAGCTTTTTTTAAAACTGGAAAACTTCTCACTTATTCTGTGTTGACTCTGGTCTTGGTGTGCAGTATACCGTCCTCAGCTTCCCTAATTCAATTCATTTCGTTAGACTAATAATGTCCAACACAGTTAACAGAAGCCCAGGCTGAGGGTCTGCAGTGATTGCACAGCTTATTATGCGAGCTTGCTTTCAAATGAATGCAACATTAGTGCATTTAAGGAGACACATAATGGAGACATTCAAATGCATTCATTTGGCTCTTTTATGGTTGAACAGTGATGAAACCCCGCCCCTCTGTCTGGCTGCGCTTTGTCACATCTTTGGTTAACAGACTGTGGTTGTTAAGAGCAGCTACTCTGAGTGCTGCTGCATGCAGCAGTTTGATAAACGGAGGACACTCTGTGTTTCTTACCACTGCAGAGAGGCTGGGAACGAATTTGACGGAGTTCTGGATGTCCTCCTCTGTCACCTCTACCACAGAGCAGTGGTCCTCCTCCAGAGGCAGGGGGTCAGCACCTCCCTGGGTCACCCACGGGTCCATCTGAAAGGGCATGGACCGCAGTGAAATAGGGCACTTTCATAACTTGACACCCAGAGGTTCACAGAAACACACAGCAGTAAATACAGTCAGTTTACGAGCTTGTGTCCAAGCAATGATTTAATGGCAAACGCGAGCTTTCCTACGTTTACAGGAAGGTTTGTTTCAGGCTGGGCGGTCCTCAGATTACAGTCCTCAGTACTGATTACAAGTGTTACTCTGCAAGAACCAACATGGTAAGACGTCGTAGGTGATTCAAGGCATCAGTGTGACCTAAGTGACATTCACTGACCAATCACTGCTGCACATTTTCCACTTCACACAACGAGACCCTCTGTGGGCTGCAGAGAGGGCGGGATGGATTTGCTCTGCATTTCCCTTTTTCCATGTTGGAAGTGCAAGAAAGCCAAGTTCTCCAACTGTGTGCCAAACATTTAGACAGTTACAAAAGCTGAATATAAATATAAGCTGATTAAATGTGCCGAATGAAACAGACTCTGTCAAACATTAGCAAACATTAGTGACCCAATGGGAACATGTGATGCCTCTGCTGTGCTTCACAGATACCCGTGTCACGCCTGTGTGTTTGTATATTTAAGCCTCTTTTCTTCAGGCTGATTACAGCCTTTCTATTTAGATACTGTTGAATCAGCCTTTGACTGGATATGACGGCACTTCGTTTACTACACCGTCCTGCAGCTGAGCTCACCGCATGTTTGTCTCTGATTGTCAGTTGATTCCAGCAGCCCAAGGATGGCCTGCTTTGTTTGCACTCAGAGCTCCTTTGACTCTGCTGAAGGCTCACAGCTGACAGCTCTGCAGGCAGATGCACATGCCAGGTTGTCCCAGATTTATCCGACTTTCCGAGGTAATGCAAATCTCACACGACACATGCGACTGTAACAGCTGCATTAACAGGAAATATTCAAGCCTCTTCTTTTTAAAATACGAGGCGAGCCAACGCTGTGTGCAAGGTCACAATAAAAATGCTTTTTTTGGTTTTTGAGTCATTGTGTGTTTGTGCACGAGGACGTGCACGACGCCCGAGAGCCTCCATATCTCCACGAACACACAGAAAAAGAGTCACATGACTCATGATTAGATTGTGTGATGGAGACACAGTGGGGCGTGGGAATGTGATCGGGCCATGATTGTGGACCATCCACGGCACTAATACACACTCAGTTTGTCTAAGAACTACTCTGTAGGAACACAGCGAGGTCACAATCTCATGTGTTAATCAGCAGTGAGAAAAATCACAGCGATGCTTTATAAGTATGAAGAAGGTGCTAAAGCTGAAGGACGGTAATCTGAGCTGGTTTTCTTATCATCCATCAGTTTGGTACCTTGATCTCTGGGATGCTGATCCTGCTGTCGGGGTTCTTATCCAACATCTGCAAGATCAGATTCTGCAGCTCTTCACTGATTTTGGGCCTGAAGAAAAAACAAAATGACGATTTGGGAAAAGGTTTGTGACCCACACGTTTCCATCACATTTACCTGAGGAGGTAATCCTATGATTGCATTTAACATGAGACACACTCAACAGGAACAGCATGAAATTATGACTTTCCTGCTGTCTCCTGTATCAAGCCGTGTTTGTTAACATGCAAAAGATCATTTACTCATTTCTTGGACTCGCTGTGGGAAAAAACGTCCCCAAAAACGAATCAAAACTTTTATTCACCGCTGGAAGATTTGGTCACATGAAGTCTAAACACAGGCTCGGCATTAAACTGCCAACAGGTCGTCACATGTTGGACAAAGTGAAGCCAGCAGAAATATTTTGGCCCCTTTGTGTAACAGAGCCGTCATTTCTGCTCTTTGTAAGAAACGCTCACGTAACTCCTCCCACATATTCCAAACCGCTCTTAGAAAAAAAAAAGGCTTTTCTATTAAGTGAAAGAAATTTATAAGCAGCCATGAAAACAGTAAATGGTCTGTATTTGTATGAAGACTTTTTACTTCAGGCAGCTTTGGCTGTTGTTTGAGGGGGTGACTGTAACTGAAAGGGAGGCTTACTGCATGCCAGTAATGTCATATAGACAAACAGACATAATTATATTTATATTTGATCAGCCACAACACAAAAATACCACATTTAGTTAAAAATAAATTAGCAGCTAGAAGTAACCAGCTGACACAAGCAGCAGCTGGTAAAGTGCACTAGCTAGCCAAAAGGGCTAAACTGTTAAAATATATAGTCAGCTTGGATTAATGCTAGAAGCAGTTAGCCAAAAATATGTACTCAAGTGTTCAGATGAATAAATGATGAAACTTTTTCACTAATTGCATTTTATTGTCTTTATGCCACAGACGCTTAAAAAAGAGATGGAGGCCGCGGTGCGTGACGTGCATGCTCCACCGTTTATGACACACAAATTTAAAAAAGGAAGGTACGCACGATACTACGTAGCTTTAGCTAACAATAATCTGCTACATTCTGTTGGAATAGAACAGATATGTGTGGATTTAATGAACACGGCTGTTGGAAGGCACAGTCCAACACCAACACTGAGCCCTGTCCTCACACCTCCTCACGCCGCCCTTCTTCACTTCTTCTCCCTTCTCAGCGTGTCCTCCTCCACCACTGCCTAACATCTGTCTTTTATTCTCTCTATGATATTCCCCTACAGTGAGCAGGCCTGCCAGCTTTTCTTTGACCTTTTAGTCAAAAAGAAAAACAACTGTGGAGCAGATCGTATTCATGTAATTACTGAAGCCTCCGTTTGCTTTTTCAGCTCGTTTTGATTCACATGTTGGTGACGTTCATCCTGCCAAGCTTTTTGGGGAAAAAGAACAGAAGAAGACGTTTTCGTGACCGCGTTGCAGACGAAGGATAACTAAAGTGAAGATGATGACCGTCCGTTTCAATAAAGTGGAAACTTACGTTTCTGGGAATTCTACAGGCTTGGTCCTTATCTTATTATGCAACGCCAGTATGTACTCGTCAATGAAGGGACACTGCAGGAAGAGCAGAAGAAAGGAGGTGAAAACCACAAGAACACACACGCACGATGACTGCTGCACCGGGCCAATATCAGAACGACCTACAGACGACCGAGACGAACAACAGCAGCAATCGGCCGCTTGGATTCATTACATTCAACGACAGCACGAGAAAGCTGCTGTTTCAAACACACACTGTGGCAGACAGCGCTCCCACTCAACACCCACTAGGTGCTGTTAACTAGTAGCAGAAATGTGAAATGGACACATTCTTCTATGCTTTTAAACGAAGACTTGTGGAGCAGACGTCACATTTACCTTTCCAAAGACGAAGCAGTAGAGGGTAACCCCCATGGCCCAAACATCCAGCGCCTGTAAGACAGTTCCAGCAGTGACATTATATTCAGACAAATGGGAAACATGTAGAGGACAAGAGTCGTTTTAAGGTTATTGTTTGGGGGCAGCTACTGTCAGATACCCTGAAGATGAATTTATGTGATGACACAGCAGCGGCACATGTGCCCCCCACCCCTCGCTCCCTGTAGCTCGGATCCGTTTGTGATCCCTGATAGATACGGATGATTAAAGCAGCCCTCTGAACCTGTGCAATATCTCAGCCACACTGCTGCAGATGTGACATGAAGCATCCTGTCTGCTGATTTGCAAATGCTGCTGTGCGTGGGACCACCAACAAGTGTCAGGTCCTCATGTTTGTGCTGATATACAGTGTGTGGTTTGTCCAATCAGCGGCTGTGCGTTATATTCAGCCTCATCACGATAAAAAAGATGGAAGCTTATCTGCTATAGACAGAACTGCTCATCGTCTAACTGTGGAAATAACAAGGTGAAACATTTCTGATTCATTCGATGGAAACTGAACACAAGACCACTGTCGTTATCCCGGTGTCGATCACTTCCTTGTTCTTGGGCCGGCTAAACGCCAGAAACTCATTGTAGCTCAGCAGCTGTCATTTGGAGTTGGAGGCTCGGGTTCAGCGTTTTCAGTTTGGGTCACATCAAACACTACACTTTAAACTCTCTTCATGTTCATCGAGTTCACTCACTTTTCCACTGAAGCTCTTTCGCGCATCTGACAGCGTCTCTGGTGCCATGAAAGCCGGAGTGCCAGCAGTGCTGGACAGCAAAGCGTCGTTGCCCTCAAACTGGTTGCTGACTCCAAAGTCTGCTATCTTCACATGGCCATCGTCCCCGAGTAACAAGTTAGAGGGTTTGATGTCGCGGTGGACAATCTTCTGGTAGTGCACTGGGATACAAAAAGAAAACACAAAGAAGAGAGCGCAAGTTTCCCCTTTGGACACGTGGAAGCTTATTTCTGTTTTCTGGAATATTTCCAGCTTCTAAACACAAACTGGAACTATCCTTGGAAAAACGCAGAACCCGGAACGCAGCCTGAGGATCCTCAGGTCGCATCTTTACTCGTATACACCGAGGTTTGAGAACATGTCATTAGGGCAGAGGGCAGGTGGTGAAATGTCGTCTTCATGGGGAAGAACAAAGCCCAGACTGTGGTGATTGTGTCATTATGAGGGCAGAGCTGCGCTTCTTCAGCCTGCGTCCTGATTGGTGTTCAAACTGGAGGAAAATAAATACTCTCAGCAAATGGGAGGTTCCCAAATTCGGGAACAAGCCAAAATTGTTGGGAATTATTTCAATCTTTAACAAAGCATTGCATTATAAAGGTTAATATTATATTATGTGGCTCAAGCTCAAAGAGGAATTGTGTCTCCTGCTGGACTCGAACCAGTGACCTTTCACTGGTTGGATGGCGGTGTAAACGCCTGCCATGGTGGATGCAATGTAAAGCAAACAAAAAATAACAACAAACAAACAAACAAACATGAGCACAAATTGTAAATATTGCATTTGAACAAATATTGTTTGGTGAACGATTTCACCACAGCAGCTGGTTCCAATGAATTTCGCTCCGTTTGACTTCTTTTAATGTTACTTGTTGCCAACCGTGAACACACTAAAATACGACTGGGATCATGTAGAAGAAATGCTACGTTACATTGTAGAGCTAAAGAGAGAAACAGACACTGACACACAACAGAACAAAGTGTTACATATGAGCTCATTATAATTATCGTTTCATCAGTTTCCAAAGTTCCACCTCAGGATTTGCAAAAAAACAACCATTAGGTATTTTAGGTACTGACACAATGTTTCAATATTACTTGTAATTAAATGTCAACATGAACACTAACGAGTAATTATAACCGTCAGCTGAACATGGTGACGGGAAGAGTTTTTCCTTTCAAACGCAGGTTTTAATTATAAAGTTTAAAAAATGGAAATAATCAGCAGAAGCAGGTTGAACTGATCTGTAATTGGAACAATTTGGACTTTTGAAATCCATCATTACTTAAAGTGGGAACAAACCCTAATGCTTAGCAAACAGCTGTGTGATCAGAGGAACCTGGGTGACTGGGCTTTACTGGTGACTGTACTTTTCCATTTTGTCCCATTGTTACCACCATGGAGCTCAGGATGACACGGCACTGCTCCTAAACGATTAAGATCATCGCCTGCTGAAATTAATCACCTGCAACACACGAGGCCTGGGCAGGGGCAAAGCTGTATCGTTTAATAGAAGCTGGATAGTGACGGAGGAGACAGAGGCTCAAAGATGGAGAAGGCCCCTCCCTGCTGCGAGAGGCAGAGCTGGACAGGTCGCCAATCTCACACGGCGCTAAAATGACTGCTTTGAATCTTTTAGTCACTTTGTGAGGGTGTGTGGTACTTACAGTATTCGATACCCAGGATGACGTCTCTGAAGTATAAGCGAGCTTGCTCTTCTGATAAAGGACTGTCTGTGGGCACCTCCATCACTGGGCTGCAAATCCACGCAGACACACACAACACAGGCAGCGTGACAGACAAATGTGCAGATTATGTGCAACAGTCGTTTCACTGGTAGCTGTGCTGTTGACTCTAAATGTGACTTTGAGATGGGATCCAGATTTAAGCTCCGACGCTCAGCAGCAGGCAGCTACGCGTCTGATTGGATGACAGCAAGTTACACACGAGGACACGAACGAAGCCCTTGCTGTAATTTCAACAACACTGTGACGCTGCAGACGGTGCTGGGAGCCACATCATCCCAACCATCCCAGCATTTTCCTGCTCCGTATTCCATCACGCACTGATACCGATGGATAACACCGCATACAGACAGATATCTCTATAAACATTTATTATCACTAAGTTTGAATTCACATTCATCCCATCTCAAACTGCACATTTATAAGGAACAAATCTGTGAAAGGGCTGGTTGACATCTCCACAGAGGATCCATTTAAATCCTTCACATGTGAAGAACCAACGTTATCTTTCAGCATCATCCATATTTTTAAAAACCAATTTAAACAACAAACCAACAGCTGACTCTTCTGTGTAATAATCACAGATCTGATCAAACATCTTCTGCCTTCACCAAACGTTTAAATCTTTCTGCCTCTTTGTCTCTAATGAATGAAACAGACTTTTAAATGACTTTGTTCCTTACAAATACATCATAATATCGTTTTTGCTCATTAATGACTGACGTGTGTGGGAAAACACATTCAGAAATGTCACTGTACTTTTGTGTGTGAGTGTCTGTGCTCTCTTTTTGGATGCTTTTAAAAACCCTCTGTGTCTCTAAAGCTGCACACCAGTCTCCACGTGTTACTCAGAGCTGTTAATGAGGAGGTGACGCTTTGCAGCACCAAATTATGAACATTAACAGAAGCATGACGCTTTCACACAGAGTGGCTGCTGCCGTGTTTGTTCTGCTTACAGTTCATTTGCTCAGGCTTTTAAATGCAGCTTCATGTCAGAGCAGCAAAGCAGTGACTGCATGGGTGAAACGAGCTGCTTTGTTATCGCCTGTTACAGCAAAGATAACAGCGTGACTGTAAGCTCTATGAAGTGAACATCAAGCTGCCCGACGCTCACGCTAACAGCAGCCGACTCAGAGGCAGTAAGAGAGCAAATCCATCCTTTAAAACAGCTTCATATGAAAAGGATAAAGTTATTTACGCATACACGTCCTTCTCAAAACATTAGCATATTGTGATAAAGTGCATTATTTCCTGTAATGTACTGATAAACATTAGACTTTCATATATTTTAGATCCATTACACACTTGAAGTAGTTCAAGCCTTTCATTGTTTTAATATTGATGGTTTTGGCATACAGCTCATGAAAACCCAAAAAATGAGCATATCATGAAAAGGTTCTCTAAACGAGCTATTAACCTGATTAACCATCTGAATCAACGAACTCTAAACACCTGCAAAAGATTCCTGAGGCCTTTAAAAACTCCCAGCCTGGTTCATTACTCAAAACCGCAATCATGGGTAAGACTGACTGCTGTCCAGAAGGCCATCACTGACACCCTCAAGAGTAAGACACAGAAAGAAATTGCTGAACGAATAGGCTGTTCCACAGAGTGCTGTATCAAGGCACCTCAGTGGGAAGTCTGTGGGAAGGAAAAAGTGTGGCAGAAAACACTGCACAACGAGAAGAGGTGACCGGACCCTGAGGAAGATTGTGGAGAAGGACCGATTCCAGACCTTGGGGGACCTGCGGAAGCAGTGGACTGAGTCTGGAGTAGAAACATCCAGAGCCACCGTGTACAGGCGTGTGCAGGAAATGGGCTACAGGTGCCGCATTTGAACCAGAAACAGCGGCAGAAGCGCCTGACCTGGGCTACAGAGAAGCAGCGCTGGACTGTTGCTCAGTGGTCCAAAGTACTGTTTCGGATGAAAGCAACTTTTGCATGTCATTCGGAAATCAAGGTGCCAGAGTCTGGAGGAAGACTGGGGCGAGGGAAATGCCTGAAGTCCAGTGTCAAGTACCCACAGTCAGTGATGGTCTGGGTGCCATGTCAGCTGCTGGTGTTGGTCCACTGTGTTTTATCAAGGGCAGGGTCAATGCAGCTATCAGGAGATTTCGGAGCACTTCATGCTTCCATCTGCTCAAAAGCTTTATGGAGATGAAGATTTCATTTTTCAGCACGACCCGGCACCTGCTCACAGGGCCAGAACCACCGGTAACTGGTTTCCTGACCATGGTACTACTGTGCTCAATTGGCCTGCCAGCTCTCCTGACCTGAACCCCATAGAGAATCTGTGGGATATGGTGAAGAGAAAGTTGAGACGCAAGTCCCGACACTCTGGATGAGCTTAAGGCCGCTATCGAAGCATCCTGGGCCTCCATAACACCTCAGCAGTGCCACAGGCTGGTTGCCTCCATGCCACGCCGCACTGAAGCAGTCATCTCTGCAAAAGGATTCCCGACCAAGCATCGAGTGCATAACTGAACATAATTGTTTGAAGGTTGACTCTTTTTATATTAAAAACACTTTTCTTTTATTGGTCGGATGAAATATGCTAATCTTTTGAGATAAGAATTTTGGGTTTTCATGAGCTGTATGCCAAAACCATCAATATTAAAACAATGACAGGCTTGAACTACTTCAGGTGTGTAATGGATCTAAAATATATGAAAGTCTAATGTTTATCAGTACATTACAGGAAATAATGCACTTTATCACAATATGCTAGTTTTTTTGAGAAGGACGTGTACATGTGGATGATACCAGCCGTCCCCTTCAACTCCAATTTGGTTATAACAGCAAAAGGTTGTGCATCATAATGTCTCTGGCACTGTAGGAAGGAGCGGCTCATGCATGAGGATGTGAAACGCTTTCAGCGCCAAGAACTGAAAACCCAAGAAAATGACGAATTCCTTTGAAGCCTGAGGTGGAACAAACGGCCGTACGGCTCAGAGTAATGAAAGAAGAGCGCAGCAGTGATCGAGGCAGGGATGAAGGGTGGAGAAATGAGGAGGAGAAGGTGGGTGGGTGAGCCTTAAATTATTTAGAGACAGGAGGACGGGTTCTCTACTCACCCCTTACGCATCAGCTCAAACACTGTCAGAAACAGGGAGAGAAGGAAACACGAACACGTGAGACCAAACATTTCATTCTTTTCTTCATTCGGCCTGTTTGTGACCGCTGCTGCCACCAGGCTGCGTATTACTCTACAGCCTGACTGCGGCACTGCTGATGGAGAGCTTCTGCATAACGCGCCAGCCCTAAGCAGGTCTGCAGGGAAACGACCATCTCTGAATAAATGACACGTACACTTGTCGGCGCCATATGCATCGAACGCCACAGGCTTACAGACACAGGGCAAGAACAGAGCAAAAGTATCTGGACACATAAAACAAAGACGTGCATACCCATGTGAAGGTTGTCCTCCGATGGATCATCCAGCACCTGCAGCATCAAAACACAGTCAGCGTAAATGGTGAGCAACATAAAAACATTCAGGGCTTTCATTTAAAGAGCTGACAGCATGCATTCACTGACTCACTGCACAACTCGTCTGCTACCATAAAAGCTTCCTGCAACTCTCGGCAGTCAGCAGGTTGAGGAGCTATAATTTAAAACAGTGGCTCAGCGTCATTTGCACAAAAATGATATCTGTGCAGTCGACGCTTCACCAGGTACGCAGGCTGACTGAAAAGCTGCGTACACCTTTTCTACTGAACAACACCACGGACGCATTAACGCGGGCAGAGCTGCAAAAGCTGTATTTGACTATTCTTATGACAATTTGGAACAATGCTCCGTGTAGCCTTTTTTAAGTGTTTTAAGGCTGAGCTGTGTACAAGACAGCACAGGTACAACGCGTGCCTTTGAAAACTTGTCCACCTTCAAAATGTCAAATGAGCTCAAAGACGATGAGTGGATGACAAAGAAGATGTTACGCTGAGGTTCGTTCATGTTTGAGAACGATACGTGAAGACATGATGTTTTTTAAACTATTCGCACGAGCACCAGAATAAAACATTATTCTGACATGCTTCCATTTCACACAATCAGCCAACCTGGCCCCACCCTGCCACGTGATTCGCTGAGGTCAGAAGGCCCAGGATGTGAGTGGGTGGATTGTAGATGGCAGACGGTTGGTGAAACCTTGGCTGATTGTGACCCACACCTGTTTCACACCTTGGCTCGTGTGATTACGTAGAGGATCAATAGGGGGTCCGTGACCCTCTGGGGGGCCACTCCCACAGGGTTTGAATCTGGGACTTTCCACCAGTTGCTCATCAGTAGAACTGAAGAAGCTTCTGGGATGAAACATCTTCAGCAGACGCTTTTCTTTCCCAGATTAAACTGTGCGTCACCACAGAGCTTTCACGGTACCTGCCCTCTTACATCGCTGACTGACTCTATTAGCAACATAACGAGAGCTCAGTGGTGGCAGCAGTACAGGCTTCAGAGGCACGGGGATGGGACGTGCACCCCCCCGCTGAGCCTTAAAAACAGAAAGGTCAGGCCCAAAAGAAACCCAGCAGCGTCGTGAAATAAAGTTCTGTGGAAGCATGAAAGGTCAACCTCTCTAAAGAGAAATAAATAATAGAAAGTGTGAAGAATTAAAGGAGCGGCTCAGGAGTCACAGCCCCCCCTCGTCTGTCGAACGTGTTATCGCTGAGGCACGCCGGCATCAGCAGGGTGATCACACAGCTGTTCCAGTCTATGTTGACATGTCATCATTCAGAAGGACAACATCACAACAACGTGGCCGAAGCAGCAACAACAAAGTAAATCCGTTTACAGATTTGGGGTATTTTTTATGTGCATCTGTCCAATAACGTTTGGACTCTGGGATATTTGGCAACAGGCTGCAATGAACCCGCGCAGCTCTTTCTATACTGATGCAACCATTTCCCAGGAAAGTGAGACGTCCTCTGGTGTGCAGTATCCACCCCAAAATCTGCGATGTGAAGATTTGAAAGAGGAGACTACAAACAATGAGTCAGTGCAGAGAGTGACATTATTCACTGTTGACAGAGGGGAAACAAACAGCCTCGGCTCGAGGACTTCGGTAGCCCTCTGTGCTCACAGCTAGCAGCTTGAGCTGACATTAGCTGGTGCTAATGGTCTTTTATTGCAGCTAACAGACATTTCTCATGTTGACTTGTCACAGCAGGCAAAGGTTTATTAATGGTGCCTGCATTCCTCTTACGGGAGTTCTTCTGTTTGCACACTACTTCAATATAATGGCAAACTGGGACACTTTAAACAGCCGTACAATCATTAGTTCCTCACAGTGACCAAAATGTCTATCAGGCTCGAAGCAGCAGCAGGAAGCAAAAACAGAAGAAAGAGGAACGCTTGCATCAATACTGATTCAATTATGGCTCGTGAGATCGATGTTAATATTAAACTTTAGTGGAGATGTTCCCAGAGATCCAACAGCTGACACAGTAAGGATGGAGACTCACGATCCGGACTCGGCCATGAAAACAAGCAGAGCCGCAGTAATTTCACCTGCAGTCTGTGTTTAAACAGAAATCCACAAGTTCTTGGTTCACCTTTTTGCCCCGCGTGTCTGCCCCAGGCAGCCCGCGACTGTGATTTGGTGCTTTATACAGCGGGCAAGTAAGTACTGAACACCTGACCAAGTAAATCTGTCTCTAATAGTGTTATTGACATGAAATTCTCACCAGACGTCGGTAACAACATATCCAATCCACACGTTCAACGAGTGGGATACTGAGAGATGACAAAAGCCACGACACCAGCTGAGATCTGGCAGTAGTTACAGGGCGTCCTGCCACTCGGTGTGAATTAATATCAGCCGGTTCAGTCCCTAAAGCTGCGTTATTAACAAGGTGTCCCATAAAACACACGTCATGATGGGTAAAACCGACGAGGTCTCCTTTGCAGCCTTATTGTTGAAGCACACTGATGAAGGTTGCAGTCAGCACTGTTGGGACTATGCAAAAGATTTCCAAGTGTCCAGGTGACGAGCACCACCTGTGCACAGCTACAGAAAGAGCTGGAAGTTCAACTGCTTCAAAGGAAACGATGAATAATGCGCTCAGCCCCTGTGACCTGTGCGCTCACCACACAGGAGAAAGCACACTGAAGCACGTTCAACGTTTCCTGAACAAACAGTGAAACAGCTACTGCAGACCACCTCAAACACCAACAGTGGCGTTTGGAGGTGGGAACCATCATGGTGACGGCTTTCATGTGGCTCTGGCACGAGTTTTGTAATTGAAGAAAGGATGAATGGAAAACGTACCGAGACATTCTGGTAAAGGTTTGCTGCAGCCTATGAAGATGAAACGAGGGTTGGACATTTCAGCGAGACAATGACGTCAAACACAAAGCCAAAGAAACTCTCAGCGCGTTCCAGGGAAGGACAGCGACGGCCCAGCCAATCACCTGAGCTGAATCCAAGTCTGTGGAAAGAACTAAAGCTCAGAATTCATAGATGGGAAACTTTGTGTGGAAGAATGGGCCAAAATCACACCTGAGTAATGCACGCGACGACGTCCTCCAACCAAGAACACATGTCAGCCAGCGTGCTCAATACTTTTCTCATTATTACACATAATTTATGGATACCTGTGGATATGTTGCTGCTGCACGTGGGAAGAACTTCATGTCAGTGGCACTTTGAGGTGTTCAGTACTTACCTGCAGCCCCGAATCACAACAACACTCAGCTCAAGCTGCTTTGTGTTGTAAAGACTTTACAACAATAACTGACAAACCCTCAACAATCATAAGCAAACACTTGGTGACATCGGGAAGGAAAAACTGGGAAAGCGTTCAATACTAACTTTATCTGCTGTAGATTGAATTGGACAAAAACTAAAGGTGAAAGGTCGCCATGGCATCGAGTGTCACGACAAGTGCAGGACACAGAAACAGGAAGGCCTCTTACTCGTGAATGTTTGCTGGCACCAACTCAACACTGCTCTTCTCCCTTTACATGCAGTATTTCACATCATGCTCCTGATTACAGAACAGAGAAGCTCCGTCTTTTCATCGGAAGTAAAAGTCTGATTTTATGGGTTCAGTCTGACTGTTTCCAGCCTCTGAGACAAATGACCGCGTCGTTTTCATCGTTGCTAATCTGTTCCGCTCAGTGTGGCCTCTGTTTTCATAATTGGAGAGACCGGACTGCAGCTCACAGAGCTGCGATGCCGACCCGAGCACAGCCCGTTTACATGGATGAAGAGCGCGAGAGCAGCTGTCCCGTTACCAGCAGACGCCCACAACGAGAGACGGAGAAGGGAAGCCCTCAACCTTTACTTAAACTCTATTTCTGACACACACAGACAGACAGACAGACAGACAGACAGACAGACAGACAGACAGACAGACAGACAGACACACACACACACACACACACACACACACACACACACAGACACACACACACAGACACACAACACACACAGACACAGACACAGACAGACACACAACACAGACACAGACACACAACGACACACAGACACACAGCACACACACACACACACACACACACCCAACCACACAACCACAGACACAGACAGACACACACAGACACACACAGACACACACACACACACACACACACACACACACACACACACACACACACACACAATCACTTTTTCCTTCAGCAAATGATCGATCCATGTTCCTCCACTGCACAGTCGGCGCCTATCGTAGCTCCTTTTGTGTCTTCTTACTTTTAGTTTCTAATATTTTGGTTTTTAATACAAAAAGTCAAGAGATTCACAGTAAATGACAACTTTTTATTATTTTACCTGCAGTCAATCGAGCACAGTTGTTGAGGCAGGCTGCACTGGGTCGTACCCAGCACCGCTTAAATCTGCTACAGACGTTCAAGACCCAGGATGAATCTAAAAAGACTTTTTTTACACTAAAGAGGATTTTAAATTTATAAACAAGTGCATGATGCAGTCTTCAACAGAGAGCAATGATTCTGACATTCAAAGAAAGACATTTTTTACAGTTCAAAATGCTACTTTGGACCCAGCTTTACGATGATAAGTCCTGATGATTGTACGTGGACCAGTCAAGCTGACGCCGTGACTTTGCCACTAAAAGCTGGAAAATACTACCATTTGACTAATTGGCAGCATTAATGCATCCCGGAGTCAAACAGCAGTTAATCGACTAGAACTAATGCGTGGCTTCACCTCTGAAGTGCACCAACAATTTATCTTCCTGCTCAATAACCCCTCACCTCCACCAGCTTGACGATGTTGACATGGTCCAGTTTTTTAAGTATGGCGATCTCTTGGTAGACTCTTTCCAGGGGTCCTAAGAGTTTGGGCTGCTCCCCCTGGGCCGCCTTTGGTCCTCTTGGGGGTGGGCGACCTGCACACCACAACACAAACCGCACACCGCCGTTAAGTCATTCATGCGATCCCCGATGAGTCATGTTTGGTGTCCTTTTTAAAAAAACAAAAACAATCAACCAAAATAAATTAGTGCTAAAAACATGTTGGTGCATGCTAATTAATCTCCCTCTGCCCATGATGTCGGTGAATCTATGAATGCATCATGCTTTTTGTCTGTGGCTGCATTAAAAGCCGTGTAATTCCATACACATCATTCTGCAGCCTGTCTTATTTCACTCAGGACAACCTAAAGCCATCTACGCTCTGACTGTATGACCTCCTTCATCGAAACCTTGGATCAGCAGAATTCAGCGCACGCAGGCACACACACAAGATCCAGACGACCCTGCTGAAGCTCAAACGGAGCCTCAGAACGGGGAAGGAAGGCGATTTAAGGGACTTTAAACGTTGTCAGTGCCAGATGGGTTGGTCTGAGTCACAGAAACTGCTACTGCTCAGATCTTTATTGGACAACCACCTCTAGGGTTTACAGAGAAGGGTAACCAAGGCATGCAGAGGAGCTTCTCTGAACGGACAGCCTGTTGATCTTTGAAGCACCGCAGGAGAACAGGGGGTTCGATTTGCTCTAAGTCTGATCAGACTTCTGCTCTGATATTCAGACGGTAGAATCTGGCATGAACATCCTGCCTGTTTAACCAATGGCTGCTGGTGGTGCTGAGCATCCCTTCATGGTCACAGTGATCACAGCTGCTGACAGCAGGTCAAACCTCAAATCATCTCAAACTAGTTTCTTGAGCGTAACAGTTTCTTACTCAAATGGCCTCCACAGCCACCGCACTTCTATCCAACAGAGCAACTTTGGGATGTGCAGCTGTCGTTTCAGTACGGACCAAATCCCAGAGCAACGTTTTCAATCTCTACCGTGAAGGATTAAAGTCCTGAAGACTAAAGGGGTCCAATCCTGTACCTAATGAAGTGGCCATACATAAAACGAGTTGCTTTTGGGATTTCTTACTGGCTTACTCGGTTTTCTCTTTGAATCTAGGCTGATCCACTTTCTTCAGTCAACAGAATGAAAAGAGAAAAAGCAGAACTCACGAGGAAACCCGCACTGCTTCACCAACTTCTTCTTGGACACCAGCTTCATGGCCTGAAAGTAAAAAGTTATTTAGCGCACGAAACAATGATGTTTGCAACAAGCAAAAAGGCAACGCATCAGAGAGGGAAGCACACAAAGCCAAGAAGGTTAACGTATCGCAGCCAGGTTTAATTCTACGAACGATTCAACGAATCATCGTGTGGACGCCGCCTTCGCCCAACGTGCACAAACATCAAAGCAGGAAATTCTCCTTTGTACGAAGTGAAGGCGGCGTTTCTCAGCAGATCTGAGGAATCTTTCATGGAAAAACCAAGCGGGTCCTGGAGCACAGCTGAGTGTGTGCACGTCGTGTCGCAGTGATCCTGGCCTCTTGTAAGGAACTGGTCATGCAAAGGAAAAGGAAAGTAATAACATTCACTGCATGTTTCTCTAACAGACACTCACAATATCAATGTGAATCCACTGATTCGTAATTTGTGGCAGGAGGAACATTTTCTGCTATTTCTACACCACAAACTGTGACACTGATGAACAGCCTGCTGGTTTCTTGTATAACTGGTCGCCATGGCTCTGACTGTGCACAAACGAGGTTTGGCAGAAAAGAAGATCCTGCGTTGTGCACAGTTACATGGTGTTCTGCCTGTGCGTAAACACACAATCAAAATGTAACGCGAGCCTGGCTGAAGATGGACTGTGCACTGAGGCGGCAACGTGACTCATGTGTGGCGCCGATCAAAGGAAGCCAAAAGTGCGTCAGCAGCAAATAGATGTAGTAGGAGGTGGATAAGAAGGTTCAAATGACTTAAGGCATCGTATCGTTCCCATTACTGCACAACTGAGCCTGCTGCAGAGCCTTCAGCGCTCTGATCTGTAGGTTTTTCAGTAAACACGCGACACATTAACTTTGCTAACAGATGAAATAAGAAGAGCAGAAAGGTTGGATGAGGTAATCTTTACTGACAGGCTGGATGAGCTGCAGGGCAAACTCCACTTTCTGTGCAACATGCTGGAATTTGATGAAACAAAAACTGAATTAGCAGCATGCACCACGTAATATTCACTGATACCACTCACAGCTTTGTTTTTGCACATTTCTGGACTACGGGCATATCACGTGTTTGGGTTCCTGCAGTTTTCCCTCTGTACGCCACACCAATGGGTTTTATATCAAACTACAAGTACGTGACTGAAGTGAGACTTTCAGCTTTATTTCACTTTAAGGGTTTAATAAAAGTGCTGCATGAACCCTTCAGCAATTATAAAGGCTTCAAGTTCATTGGACAACTAACAGAATGTCAAACATGGGGACTGCTGTGATCACCAAACGCTGCATTTGACCCTGACATGCTGCAGAGTTCAGTCTCATCCTCAGTGAGGACGAGAACACTTCATCATCTGTAACCTGCAGCTGATGTCACCGTGTTGGTCCTGAAACGCCAAAATTAAAGTTGGACCAGGTTCAGTATCGACCAATCACATTGTTGTGATGTCATAGTTCTGCGACATGGAAAAAACAAAATACTAAAAAGTGAGGTGGGGGTGAGGGGTGGGGTGGAGGTGGGGGCCAGGGTGAGGTGTGGGGGTCAGGGTGGGCGTGGGGGTCAGGGGGCTAACGTTATGGTTGTGGGGTAAAGGAACAACAATTACGTCATGGTTTGTGGACTTGATGGATTGGTGTACGACACAGTGACATCATATTACGCAGCTTATATTTCTTTCTGGTCACGGAAACACAAACAACAACAAACTGGAGCTTCCGCTGCCTTTAGTCAAATCAAATATCTGTTAATAATTAGCTCTTCAAATTCACTGCTCCCAACTTCCTGGCAGGAAGTTGCTTCGCTTTGGCGCCCTGACAAACAGCATCGCCACATTCGGATTCCTGCCCATCAGTGATTATACAGAGGACACAGGGTGCTGCAGAAACATACACAAAAAATGCAAATCCTATGACACAGTTTGTTTTCTGCATACATATACTGAACATCAGGTACATGATGCATTTACTTCCCTTTAAACTGACCACGGCTGATCACGAGTGCAAACACTTCGTTGTCCTCAGCGACAGCGCGTCCTGTTGAGATGTGATCTGTCCTCTGTGAAGCGAGTGACGTGTGCATGCTGTACGTGGGCTCAGACATTCTCCATGAAAAATCCAATCAGTTTAATGTTCTGCCAATTCAGACTGCCAGGAAATATAATCACCCTTCATGTCACCATTACTCATCTCCTCCTCTTTTGATTCCCATCATTGTTATTTCAGATGCGCCTCTCGTGTGAGCCAGTCTGCATCGGCCCACAGCGCAGGAAGCGCTTCCATCAGTTTCAACAATCAGAGTTAAACACGAGAACGCAGTGAATTGCGGACGTGTGCAGCAAAAATTAGACCTTTCCCACACGTATGTAGAAATCCCGCCGGTACACGGGAAGCTTTTAATTCATTCATTTTTATTTATTTTGAAGAATCAGACGGCCAGCGTGTGATAATCAGTCAGAGTCTGTTTCAAACACGTTAGTCGTGCTGGACCTGAGTGTGAGGAGTTACCAATACAGCTCCAGTATCATCACATGCAACTGCAGACCGGCTCCGTCTTCAAAGCAAGTGCTTGTTAGACGTCGAGTTCACAGGTTCACACAGTCAGGGTAGTTTTCAGGAGGCTGGACACAAACTGCAGCTCTCCACACTGGACATTGTTTAAAACTGCATTTCATTACCGTCTCAAGAGCCACGTTTATTTGAGCACTGCTTTGTTTGACTATTTTCCTTGTTGTATAGAGCTCGCCTGTGTCCTTGGATAAACATCCTGTTCACTACCATTCAGCACCAGGACAAACTCCTGACTTGTGTTTAGCAGCAAGCTGCTGCTGCCTCTGGTTCAAAAGTACATCTTAAACCGTCGACATTGGTCCTGCTGCACAGGGCAGCTTAGTTATGTTAAGGTAACAGCTTACACTTGGAGGGACACCTGGCAGGAATGGCCCAAAACAAGCTCGTGTTTGTGTGCTGGCTCGATGCAGACTCTGCTGGTGAACTGGCCACAGAGCAGAGCTGCTTTGAAGGGAGATAAAAGGGCCTGAGATGCACTTTAAATGGCAGCAGACGCCACTCTCACTCCCAAGTTTCTTCCACAGCAACTGATGCAATTTAAGGGATGAAATTCACAACAAGGAGAACAAAAATAAAAGAATCGATAGCACCGGTCCTCGGTGGAGGCAGCAGACTGAGAGAGGCTTGATGAAAGCTTAAAGGATGCTGACGGTAAAACAAGTTCCCACCAAATAACTTACATAATGTTTGTCATCATCTTCATTGTAGGCAAGTTTTACCACACCATAGGAGCCCTGCAATACAAAAACAGAACAACACATTTACAGGCAGACCAGCCGAGCATTGCAAACATGAAATCTCTACTTTGAGTTTGTAGTTTCAGCTTTGCTCCGAAACAAGAGCAGCTCGTGAGCAGGACTGCTCAGAGAATCTGTTCAGATTCCTAAAGCATCGCTCGGAGCAGACGGCAGCGCCACACTGACAGAATGTTTTCGAGGCAGCACCGTTTCCACTGAAAGACAACATTTTTATTCTCTGGCAGCACAGAATGGGTCCTCCCACACACACGCTTCCCGAGGATGTGTGTTTAGTGCCAGCGCTCTGCACCGAGGAACCGACCGAATGTTCAGAGAGGTTCAGTAATCATATATAGACTCTGATGCCCGGACAGCTTAAAGGCGCCACTTACTCACTTATTTGTTCTCAAAAGTTAACAGTCAGGACTTTGATGCAATCTACTGTAATACGCACCGCTGCAGCTGCAACTGACATTTTTCTCATTTAATATGCACAATTTTACTGCTCGCTGCATTTTACAGTGCAACTGTGAGTGAAGCTTCCTGCTTGTAAACTTGGACGTGTGGCCTGCAGCTGAGTCGCATATAAAGCACGCAAAGAGAATATACAGCAAATATCAGTCTGACAGTATTTGTTTCCCTCTCTAACCTGTTTGAGACGGTTAGCCTCGCCGGCTACAATGCGCACTTCACACAACTGGATTTGGTTTTTCAGTTGTACCTCTGCTCTGTTCCCAACACGACAAGTTCCTCCAAATCCAAATCACAACAGTGTTTCTCTTTAATCGCGACTTTCTGTGCAACCTGAAAATATCGACGCTCTTATGTTGCATTTACATGCATTTCTGCTTCAAAACACAAACACCTGAAAGCACTTTGGTTTTTGCTGTGTGCTTTTGTCATATCAGGGTTTATTATCAGGGTATCAACAACCCATAAGTCTGACATCACTTTAATCTGAGCTTAAATTCATTTTAGGGGTCATTATAGGTCCTTCTAGGCAGTCGCCTTAGCAACGTGTCTATAAAGCAGATGTCTGGTTTTAGGAATAATTGAATGAAATTCTGGGATGTGTTGTAATCAGGATACTTTAACCACCCAGTCTCTCCTTTACAGCCTCTTTGTTTTTGCTTGGACAGTCCTATTATGCTAACATGCTAAAGCCACTGTGGATCTGCTAGCATGTTAGCGGTTATCGACAAATACTGCAGCGCTTCAGTACAACAGTGCTAGTCTGTGACTTCTCCATGAATCTGTGGTCCAGTGTTGGCTTCAGGCATTGGCTCACCCTAAAGCTCCATCCTCCTCCTGCTTTACGGCTCTCGTCTAATAAATGAGTAAAGGCTTTAATGACTTTATCCCATAGCAGCTGGGTCATTTCTATATTCTGACTGAACGTCTTTGTGCAAACAGAGTCGTCCCTGTTGGCTATTAGAAAAAATGGGCTGTTTGCAGCACTTTGGCTTCACAAATTTAAATGTTTTTCTTTATTTCTAAAAAGCTGTAAAAGACGACACAGCCGAAATGTACAAATATGGAGGATAAAAAAATGTAATGGCCCTCCTGGGCTGTGATACACCAGCTGAAACTGGGTTGTGCAGGCCTTTGGTTGGTGATGCAACATCCAACAACACCCAACCACAAATAAACCCACACGTGGTAATTTGATGGGTCAAATTTAGGAATGTACAGAACAAAATGAAAATGGGCCACACTCTGCGCTGTCCATTTCCTCACATGCAGCCCGACCTCTCCTCAGTTACTGCTGCTTTGTAAACTGAATGGAGGCCAAGGGCACGGATGGTACTCACCTTTCCAATCTCACTCTTCAGCTTATACTGGTTCAACTGGATACAGTCCTGAGAAGCAAGCAAAGCAGACAAACATGAAAAATCAATAAGGAATCATTTCAGCATCTAAAAGCAAAAGAAGAAACAAAATGTTCTTCCTGCTCGTGTGCTCACACGTGCACTGAAAGTTATTTATTCCTGACCGTAGGTGACGATGCAGTCTGTAGTGTGTTTACCGTCTGCAGATCCATTAGTGCTACTGCTTAAACGGCTGATTTGCAGTTCCATAGCAACCACTGCTACAGCAGAGTTAGCCAGGGGCACGGCACAGGAGGGGAGGGGGCAAGGTGAGGGTTGGGGGTGTGGGGACAAAGGCTGTGGAGTCAGTAATCAAAAGGTGATCACTGCTCTGTGTGTGCGTATGTGCGCGTGTGCGTGCGAGAAAGCAGTCGTTTTATTTCATTACAGCTGGGGGGGCGGCGGCTTGTGAGCGAGCCCAGTCGCCCGAGACGTGTTTACAGAATGAGAGGTGGTAGCAGAACACGGATGTTAGCGTGCAGGACGAAAGCACCAGCTCACGCTGCAGGACGGGACAGGCAACGTATTTTAGAAAACGTTATAATGTGGGTTAATATCACTGCTGGTTATGTTAGCGTCGGCACGGCAGGAGATGTGAGGCTGATGCGCTGCCGCTGTGAAGCACTGTGGACTATTATGAAGGGGACAGAAGACCGAGGCTTGGGTACAACTCAGAAAAGGAGTGCTGTGATTGGCTGAAGAGAGATAAAAAGACAAAATGAAAATAGGGCAGTCAAGGATCAGAGGGAAAATGAAGAGATTCCAAAGAAAAGAGCAGCAGGAGGGATTGTTTTGGATTCCCAGCTCGCTGGCACATGCTCAGTGGATGCAGCGCTGCAGTTAATACTCTGTCAGGGCTGATGGAGAAACAGGGTCATGCAGAAAGCCTTAAATACATCTGCCACTCATGCACATATCAAGCTGAAATGCTCCACTGCCCCACGCTAAATCTTTAGAGGGGGGCTGTCACCGTACACTCACACGGCTGCCCCAGCTGTCATCGGTTTCCCTGCAGACCTCAGCCTGTCCTTCGTCATCTGCATTCATTGCTAAACAGCTGATCAATATCAGTGCATAACAAATACACACTCGAAATCAATGACCAGGCATTAAAAGTCAGCAGCCTGAGGACGTAATATTAAAACCAAAAGGAGAATTTGTCAAACAGCATCTGAAGCCTGAAGGTGCAAAAATCTATTTTACAATCTGTTTGGACAAAACTGCAGATGAGGTGAAGCGAGACGAATTTAGAATAAGAGGGTTTATTCTGCGTTGGTTCTTTACTCCAAGCTCCCCCCGCTGCTGCATTAACATCATTAACGTACATGTAGTCATACAAGAAAGCAGCTTTTATGGTAATCTGGTGTAAAAGCCTGCAAAATGTATCACGCTGCGCAGACAAACACAAGCAGATACTTAGCAGCAAAGGACTGCCAAACTCCATCCCGAGAGTCACGTAGTTTCCACTCACGAATCCAGCACGCGGTATTCCTGCTTGGAAACATTTTACTGGGGGGCATTTAGGTTAGCATGCACTGTTGTCCATTCATCTCATTGCATCAACTCTTCCAGCAGACTGGGTCGGTGCATTAGTTTCCTCCTTTTACTGCAGTCAGTGTAATTGCCTCTCTAGGCCCATAGACACTCATGTCAAGTACAATCACACCGTCTCACAGTAATGCCTGTTTTTGTCCTTACTGTTGATAGTGTTCTTCAGATCCTCCAAACTTTAAAACAAATCATTCTCTTAAAAGTTCCCACGGTGCACGGGGAACACATTATGAACAGACTGCAAGTACAACAGAGAGAAAAGACAGCAGGAGGAAGGTGACACAACCTGGTGACAACGTTTCATCATCTGACTTAATGCAGGACTTCCTAATTTACCAACAGACGTCTTTTTTTGAAGTGGAAATAACAGGATGTAGATTTTAGACAACCTCTTTCATTTGGCTCATTCTGATAAGCCTACAAAGGTGTTTGCTGCGTCTTCCTGTCTGCTTTTACCAGTCGTAGCAAACCTCTCTCCCACCCTCGTTCTGCACATCCAGCGCGAACGCTGAAATACGAGCAGCACGAGCCCTTTTTCATGGTTCAGTGCAGGAGCTGCAACTCCATTTGCAGATAGGAATGGACACAATGACAGGTCTGCGAGGCTGTGGCAGCAATGTGATGAATTCAGAGGGGTTTCCTGTACTGGCAGCTGTCATAAATATTTTATGTTCAATCTGAATTGGAAAAAGCAGAGAGGAGACTCGAGAGTCACCCAGAGCCACACGGCACTGGCAGCAGGTCTAACAGACTATAAAGGCCCCGAAATCACAACAGGTGACAAATAATGAGAATCAACACTGTGAGACACAAAAGCATCACTGCTGTCAGAGACTCAGGTTTAAGCTGCTTTCTTTCACATTTCAAGACACACGCACACGCATGCACGCGCACACAGAGCTAGCTTGATTTTATGCAAAGCTAACTAGTACAGGCAATTATGTATGCAGCCATTTCCTCAGGATACGTGACTTTGTTAACTTCAACTAATAAAATACACCAAGCAGCGAAAGCTGTTGTGGCCCCAGAGGCAGGACTTTCCTGACATGTGAGGCTCAATTTATGCTTCAGCAGGAAATTTACAATCTAACCTGGGATGTAACTGCAAATCCCTTTGAAACCACACGACTAACCTTCAGCATTGGTTCAGACTTGCAGCTCTGCAGAAATGTAGCCACACATCGCGCTGACCCAGCCTGCAGCTGCTGTGATTGGCCAGTTCAGTACCTGTTCAGTAGTTCCTGTATGTGTCCAGTTACAGAAGTGAAGCTGGCACCACATATGATACACTGGTACACAATGACATGATAATTAACACACACCGCACCAGCATCAAGGATAAATTCCACCGACGAGTGGACGACTGCTACAAAGACGCCCCACAGAAATGTAAATCAGCCATAATTCGGTAAATCAGTCGTTACACACTAGATGCAAAACTGTTTTTGATAGTAACAACATGCACTTTAAACAGATTCATTAGCTTCCATTGTTTGTAACAGTTAACCTTTGTGCTCTTCTCCATTCGCACTGAATGTACCAGACGTGAAGCAGCAGCCGCCGTGTGCATCACTGCAGGTTTGCTGCTCACTCGCATGTCCCTGAAGCTCCGGGAAGAAGACAACGAAGCAGGTCGTTTGCAACCTGAAGGTTTCTGTAAAACAGCACGACGAGCCTTCACCGTGCCTACACAAATGTGAAACCACAGAGCGTAAAAGTGGGGTCTTTGAGGCCGAGGCTCGACATACAGTGCACACACGGGTCACATGTTTAGCTGCTCCCAGGCTGACCCTACGTCTCCTCTGCTGCATTCAGCAACACGACGCAGGCCTGAAAGCACGTCGTGTCCATCTAAGCTGATAAAATTGCTTCTTTTTTCCTGCCCCAACACTCCAACATATTATCACAGCACACATGTGGACCAGTCCAGACTACATTTCAGGGACAAAGCTGGAACACTGTCGCACTCACACACCGCCTGTAATAACAGACGCACCATCCTACAGGATGTGCTGGTGGTGTCTACTTTTGACAACTGCTGTCATGAGCAGGACAAGCTGCCGTCTGTCAGCGTGCACCTCACTCCCTGCTATGATGCCACCTGTCACACCCAAATTCAGAAACCCACCATTCCAAATCAGAAGCTGTAGATGGCAGGAGAAAAGACTGCATGTGGCCAGGAGGTGGTTAGCACCTAGCTTCATGTCTTTAATGAACCTCACACTGGTACTGCTGCGCTGTGAAAGGAAACGTCACATATTTACACTGAAGCTGAAAGGCGATAACAATCTCACCTGGGAGTCAGATATGGACACCCGTTTACTCTCCACAGTAGGCCTGCGAGGGGAGATGTGCGTCCTCTCCTGCAAAGACAGCTTCCTCCCAGTCAGGTGAGGCCGCGTCGGAAGAGGCCGCTTGGCCTGAGCCACATCCTGCTGGGAGCCACCGTTCTTCGCGCCGCTGGCGGCTGAGCCATCCGAGTCTTTTGTTGTCATGGCGGCCATGATGTCTGTGAGACCGCTGGTCTGCGTAGAAGAGTTGGGGTCCAGCCTCTCACAGCCAGCGTCACGGCTCATAGCCATGATGGCTCAAGACGTGGGAGCTGTGGAGAAGCAGGTGGCAGGGAGAGGAACAGGCCAGTGCCCACCAGCATCAATGTGGCCTGGGCCAGCGTGCAACGCTCAGGGTCTCAGCGGAGCTGGAAAGACAGAGACAGGAAAAAGACTGAGCTCAGTGAGATGCACTATGCATGCACCTGGTTTGCTTTAAGGATGATTCACTCTCTAATTTATCTCTGCTAAATGAATCTTCAATCTGTTTATTCGCCAATATGCTGCAGAGAGGAGTTAATAAAAATGCATCTCCATAAGCATTTGCAAGGAACTATAAGCATTTGTCACATCACATGTTCATATATTCAGAACAGGAATCCACGTTCTACCTTTGACTTCTACCTGCAGACTGTTGTCTGTTAAACACATTCAGATCTCCACGACAGGTCAACACTAAACCGACTGCTGCCCCTCACACCCACATTCACACGAGCACCTCCAAGTGCTTTCAGTCTAGCACTCACACTCCGATGGATGCGTGCGTGAGCGTCTTGGGGGTCGGTGTGTTGCCACAGGGACACTCTGGCCTAGCAGAAGCCCTGCTCTGCCTCCTGAGCTGCAGCCAGCCCCGTGTGGTTGGTTCAGCTTGTTGACCTTATCCACAAATTAAGAGCTACAATGAACTGATACCAAATGCAAATTCATTTATGAAACAATATGGAAACTGGCCATAAACAATCCAAAGGCTTTAATTCTAAATGGTTAATGAAGCATTGTTGTTGAGCCTCTTGAATTAACGATGAAAGTCTGCATGCTAGTCCCTTTTTGGCTGCTGAAAACTTTAGAAACAAGCCTTCCCACAGTCTTAGTAAAGGGAGCCGGGTTTGCACGAAACACGGCTGCAAACCAAACGCTTAAACGTAATCAGTCAGTTCAAAGAGGAAATGTCATCTCTGCGTGGGCGGGTGGCCTGGTGGTTCATGAGCCTACAAATTCAAATTAATGTCTTCATTAGAAAACCCAACCCTGTTAGTGAAAAGCCTTATTATGCTTCATGCTTTCAGTCAGATGCATGTAGGCGGACCCAGGCAAAAAATGCAAACAGACAAAAAGACAGACAAAAAAGACTGAATGCTTTGTGTGCATAACCACACATTTTAGTGCAATTTGTTTACTTTGCGTTTCCTCTTTCATCTCTAATCAAAGTCTCACCATTAGCAGCAAACAGAAAATAGCTCCCCAGTACACCCGGCTCAGGTTTTGTTCTGCGCCTAGCCCGGCCATCGAAGCTAAAGGGCACGTAGCCGTCAAACACCATCTATGAACAGCAGGAATCAAGAGTGCTTTCATCCTAAATGGACCACCTGGGTCTGTATGTGTGCTGTGAAAAGACACAGTATGAGGAAGTCACATCTGAGGTGTTGAGTAAATGGGCCGTGTAATGCTATTCCTGAAGTGTGTCAGGAAGGTAGAAGCTTCATAGTCAAAAATAACACCGTGTTCCAGTTTGTCCAGGTGTGTCTTACTGGTTCCTGTCATCCCACTGCCAGGTCTCAGTTTCAGCCGCTCAGCACTAACGCATAAATTAGCGGGATGGCAGCATCACTTTGTTGGCTCATCACTTTGGTTCAGACCCTGCGGTCTTTTTTACCACGGGACTGATGCGGCGCTTTTGCATCAAATAGAAGCTATTAGCTACCGAGCTGACAGTGCTAACGTCTATTCAATGCAGCTTTATTTACAAAGCGCCAGGTGCTTTATATTGTAAGGTACCCAACCACCATATGACCCCCTATGAGCAGCACTTTGGTGACAGTGGGAAGGAAAAACTCCCTTTTAACAGGAAGAAACCTCCGGCAGAACCAGGCTCAGGGAGGGGCGGGGCCATCTGCTGTGATTGGTTGGGGTGAGAGAAGGAAGACAGGATGAAGACATGCTGTGGAAAGACAGTTGTGCACATACAAGACTTGTTTAAATTTCAGAGATGTTACACTAGTTCATTTCCTGTTTGTCAGGGTTTGCGACACGCGTCCTAAAACAGTTTTAGCTACTGCAGCAACCTGAGGGCTTGATGACACGTCAGCACGACGTGACCACACGAACATCATTCACAGGTAATGGGATTCGTTTTTGAATGCCTTATTCCATCTTTATACTCCGGGGATTGGAAAGCATCCTTAACTAACCTGCTAATTCATCACAATTCAGGGAAAGTGAGACGACCGCAGCCGGTCTCCAAAGAAAACAACCCGACCGGAACATTTTGGGAGTCGTGTTTGGGAAAGTAATTTTTCCCTGCAGCACCAGTACAGTACACTGGATCCTAGGGACCCCCTACGTGGACTCCTCTGTAACAGTCACTATTCATGCAAAAGTATGAATGTCAATGACGTCTATATCGATTTAGCATGTGTCAGGACCACTTTGCACATTTACCCTCTTCTATTTGCATATTTCCAATGCTGATTATTCATGCTATGTAAATTGCAAGTACTGGATAAGAAAAAACAACCTTTAAACTGGCAGCAGAGATGGGAGACGCATTGTGTGCCTCCTGACTCATTTGAGAAAAACAAAAAGGATCTGTCATATTTTGCTTATTTCTTATCGCAGCCAGTGATTATGTGTCTCTTGAAACGGGTTCTTTCCACTGCAGCAGCATTCAACACGCTGCATGTGTGAGCCTGGCAGAAGTGGGAGGCAGAGGAGAAGCAGTGGTCTGGTTATTCATTTTAGCTGCACTGCGACTTATTTGTTCACAGAGGCAGGTAACCGCACATTTACGTAACGCAGGACAATATGCTGTTAGGTTTAATATTTCCTCTCATTCATCTCAACAGATAAATGCTTAAGAGGACAGGTTCTCCTCCTCTTCACAGCACAGCTGTGAGACGCTGTGACCGGCACACTGACAGGTCGAGGTTCCTACATATTATTTAATTTTTTCAATTTCATCTTTCTGAATATTGCAAATTCTTTCTCTCTGGTACAAGAAAATCCGATCTCTCCTGCATGATCAAACCACAAAGACGGACACAGCTAAAGTTGAACCCCAGGAAGCAAACGAGACATGTCTATATACTGCAGGTATAGAGTTACTGTAAGATGTGGGGAAGAAGAATGACATATCTGGTTCTGCTGCATCAGTTTCTATTGTTTTAATACTGAGAGCAACAATGTAGGAATGACATGCTGAAAATTCTCCTTCAAAGCGTGATGTCACAAAGCGCCGTGGACACTGTCCAGTCCAAATAAAGAAATTCAGGCCGATCTCTTTGGCCATGGCTTCAAAACTTTGTCTTTTGTTGCAAAGCGCAAGAGCTTCACAGCTGGCCGCTGTGCTCAAAGACAGCCTGGGACCAGATTCTGACCAGAAGTTTTGGATCAGCATCTCCCAACCAATAGGAATGCACCATGAAATGAGGTACTGATTACCACTAAACCAGCTATTATTGTGAAAACTGTGCAAAGCGTGCAGTTTGTAAATCCTTCAGTAAAGAAAGTCAAACTGCAGCAGCGACTCCGATGACGTCGCAGAGCTCACATCGTGAACAAGCCGAGCATGGAAACGATGCATGTAGGAGCGTGCATGCAGCACAGCCGATGCAAACCTGTTTGCTAGAGTCAGGTTTCAGTTTGTTGTAATAAAATACTCACGTTAGTGAAATTTCAGCATGTAGGTGATTTCAAGGGTGGGAAAAGATTTAGAAATGGAGCCTTTGGTTTTTGTTTGGCACAGCTGAAGTCTGCTGCAAGCCACAGAGAGGTGGTTGATTTCTGCTACTAAGGGCTGGACGGGTTTGTCAAATCTCACTGTGCACGTAAACATGGCAGCTTGTTAAACGGTTACAGGGTCGTTCCATCTCAAATCATTCGTTTTCTTCAGTTTACATAAAAATGTTACGTCCAGCGTTTGGACGTATATAACGTCAAACACTCTTCTGTCAGCATCCAGTTTCCTGTTACGTGTACTATATTTAAATTTCACAATGTCGAACATGTTTTAAAATGAAATTCTTCATCAGAAAAATGAAGAAAAACTACATTGAAATTAGAGTTTCCTAATGATAATAGTTTAATTATAGAAAATGACTTTGTTAATAATTTCATATATACAGCAACATGAAAACAACATATGTACCATGTTCTGCAGAGATCAATGCTTTCATTCAAAGCTCTGCTGCAGATGCAAATGTTAATGTTTAAAGCTCAAATAGTATCTTTGTCATCAGGTAAACAATTATAGGAAAAGCAGACAGAAACCAGAAAGAAGCTTGAGATCCTCTGCAAAGGTTTTAAAGCCTTCTTTCATTTCAGTTTAGACTGAAAGCAGCTTCAGCAGAGCCAGTTACAGCAGGAAGGAGACGGCTGAACAAATGAATCCATTTGGCTTCCATTAGTAAACCACTTTCACCCTTAACCTGCCTTCAATTTGTCTCCTGTGCCATTCGTGTAGACGGCAAACACAGACATCAAGGCCAAAGTCAAAATAAAATCCTGCATTCAAAGAAAGAGAAGACAGCGTGTGGAGCAAACTAAGGCATCCAAGGAGCTGCTCACATGTTGTTTTTCATGTACTGGGTCTGCTATTTCCCCCTCTTTACCTCATCCGAGGTCTCTGGAGTGCAGGGACACAGCATGGTCCCTGTCCAGCAGGCTGCTTTCTGAAAAACACACTTTTACACATACAGTAGAACTCACAATATACAAGAAGATAGTGAGAACAGGGGCCATGGCTCGGGTTTCAAGTCTCGGAGCACTGATCGATCACTCTGTTCTACAGTAAAACCTCGGTCAACACGTCAGGATAAACTGATAACTGGGGGACAATCTTTCAATGTTTTTCGCCTTGTTTGGCATTTGCATCACTCATTAACGGCACCGCTGTGTTTGCTGCGTCCATGCGGTGCTATGGTGAGAAACAAAGAGCACATACAGTAATGATGGAACACAAAGTGTAACTGCAAGCCTGCAACATAACAAGAGGAAGCAAAACTAGATGGAAGCAAAAGTTTTTAACATGACCGGGGACGGCTCGCTGTTGGAGCCTCCAATGGACATTAAAGGGACGGCAGTGTGCTGTTGGAGTTAAGCCAATATAAATATATATATATAAGCATCTGTATAGGTTGGTGCACTGAGACTG